CTTCTTTTTTTTTTTTTTTTTTCCTTTTTGTCTTTTTTCGTGTCCGGCAACCCTCAGTGTCGTGCCCGTACCGGACCGGGACCGGCAACGGGATCGCAACCCTCGGTGTTGCTCCCACACCTCGCTCAGCCAGTGAGCAGGAACCGGTCTGTATGTGGGATCCGAACCCTCGGCGGGAGTGCCACCGCGCTCCCAAGTGGTGCACTGTAGCAGTGCGCCACCGGGCCGGCCCTATTTCACTTCTATGTTGGATTATTAGCTGCCCCCACCAGTTATAAAACTCTGGAACTAATTCGTTGTCCTTTGCTTACTTATAAAATGGGGGAACTTCCTATGGGAACCAGCACTTGAGCCCAGTGGTTGAGCTGAATTGCTGCTTTGCTGCTGATTCCCTGGGGAAGGCTTTTTGTACAGCTCAGGTTTTAATTGTTGACCTTTAAAGTACTTCCCAGTCTTGTGAGGTCCAGTACACCAGGGGTCATGTGGAAACTCTGATCTGGGCCCTGAGTCTTTTCAGCAAACTGCACCCCCTGCAGTTCTTATTCCTGATCAGTCTCCACTCAGTGGTCCTGTGCTGATTGGAGGGCAGATCAGCTGTCCGTGCTGTTCCCCAGCGTTCCCACAGTGGATGCATCTTCCCCACCCAGGCACACTCTGAACACTTCCTGTGGAGTGGGCCACGCACTGGTCCCTTGCAATGACTCACTGCCCTTTGAGTGGCTCCTTTTTTCAGTTGTCTGTGCCCACTCACTCCTATGTGGGTCCATGGGAACCCTGTTAATGGTCTTGCTGGTCTGGGGGCCACCAAGGCCCTCTTCTCCCCTTCAGCCTCCGAGCAACTTCATACGAATGGCACCGCTGTGGTGTTTGCCAGCTCTTGTTCCATGTGCTCACCAGGGCCAGCCTTGAAGTAGTTGGGGCTTGAAACGGTCAGAGTAGTCCTTTCTTTCTCTCATCGTGGCTTCTCCTGCCTTCATGTACTCCATAGGTCTCTCCTCCTCTTCACCTGAGCTCTAGCGGTCCCATTTTGGCAGTTGTTGCTTTTTAGAAATGGTAAATTGGTTGATTGTGGGAGAGAGTGACACTGGGGACCGTTTATTTTGCCATCTTGATCAGAAAGGCTTAACTGATTTTTAACGGAGCAATCAATACAGAAACCTATTCAACTTTTCCAGTCTTGCTGTTGTGATATGCTCTATATTTTACCCGTACTTTCAAATTCATTACTTTTTAATTTTTGGACAGGTTTTTCAGCTATTAGCTCAAACAGAATTTTACACAAGACTGCAGTTTGTTCTTTTGATATACTTGATATGAGTTTTAGGAAAAAATCAGTTCATTATAATTTTTGTTCAAATGTGAAGTTGAGTTAGTGGGAAAATGTATATTTGACAGCCTGCCAGAAAGACTGGTGAATGCAGTGTTAATTCTAGGAATATGGTGCTTATAGTCAGTAGTATCTGATGAACCTTTGAACTAGAGTGGTGGCAGAGATAAGAAACAAAAGAACTAATCTTAGACATATTGAGGAATATATTGAGTCTGCAATAATTGATTAAAAGAGAGAAAGCAGAAGCAGCAAAGAACTGCTTACCTGGAATTCATTAACTATTAATCTATGTGAGAGGGAAAGTTGGTCAGGAATGGGGAAGAGCAAGAGAGATAAATTTCATTTTAGATAGTAAAATCATATAATTTTATCATCCAAATTAGGACACTGAAAGAGTGAAATTCACCAGTACAACAAATACAGGTTAGGATTATCCTGGGCTCACTTGGATAAAATGTCAAAAGTCATATTGCATTTCAGGTAACTGAGAATTCAGAGGGGTATATTGAAAAACAATTGGGAATATAAAAGCAGAGCATGGAGTTGCAAATAAATATTTGCCATATTGAAGCCTCAGATTTCTTAGAGAGGATAATAATAGAAGAGAAAAATAACACAAAAGTCTGCAGTCAGTCAGTTTGCAAAATATAAAGTAACTGGAGTTGTGTTTAATTCCTCTTTTCTCCAAAGAATCTTATTTTCATGCTATTGTCACCCCTCCTTTGACCCTTATTTTTAAGAAAACTGGATAAAAATCAAGGTTTTAGGAACTTATTATCCCCCGGGAGTGGGTGGCTCTTCACCTTTTGGGAATTAAGGAATACCCTCATTTGAGACACGGGTGAAAACTGTGTTCCTTTTCCTTACAAAATCTTTTCTGCATACATTTAAAATTCTGGATCCTATAAGGTTGGCTTGTGGACCTCAATGTAAGAGCCTCTGAGTATGCTAAGAATATTTGGGCATTTTGCTATGTCATTTAGAAGTATATGGCATACATAGTGACACTTCTAAAGTATTTCTGCATGCATCTTCCAAGAATTTGGTCATTCTCCTATGTAACTCGAAATCATTTTCATACTTACAAAGTATTTGCATTAAAAAATACTCTGAAGAAACATTGCTGAAAGAAAAGTTTAGGTATCAATGAAGTATTTTAGTTGTAAACCTTGTTGTGAATATAGGTCACGTTATTCTGTAATAAAATTTATTGTATTTTATAGTAAAATATTTTGTGCTGTCTAGTCAATAGCCTAGCCTTTCTTTGGTAACAGCCACAGTTAGGAAGACAAAAAGGAATTATCAAAGGGTAGATAAAGGGCCAGCCCGTGGCTCACTCGGTAGAGTGTGGTGCTGATGGCACCAAGGCCACGGGTTCGGATCCCATATAGGGATGGCCGGTTTGCTCACTGGCTGAGCGTGGTGCTGACAAAGGGTAGATAAAGAATGGTCTGTAAATTTGGGGGAAAAACATTAGCAGTTTTATGTCATTCTAGAAAACTGAGAGTTTCAAGATACTCATTTCTGAACTAAATTTAGTGTACTCTGACATTACAGGCTAGGTTTTGCTGTAGTAACAAACCTAAGTCTCAGTAACTTAAAGATTTATTTCTCTTTCCTGCTACGTGTTCATTGCAGGTTGATAGAGGAGGTTCTGCTCATCCTTGTTGTTTAGGGATCCAATCCGATTGAGCAGCTATCATCTTGAACATTATCAGTCACTGTGCCAGAAGGAAAAAGATAGCTTTTTACACCAGCAGTTAAAAACTTGGCCAGGGGGCCGGCCCGGTGGCACACACGGTAGAGTGCGGCGCTTGGGAGCGCGGCGGCGCTCCTGCCGAGGGTTCGGATCCCATATAGAGACTGGTCCACTCACTGGTTGAGTGCAGTGCGGGCACAACACCGAGGGTTGCGATCCCGTTACCGGTCACAAAAATAGACAAAAAGGGGAAAAAAAAAAAAAAAAAAAACTTGGCCAGGAAGTGACATGTCACTTCCCTACACAATTTATTGGTCCCATCCACTGGGGTGCCAGAAGGAACAATCCTGTCATGTGCTTGGAAGGCAGAGAGCTAGACATATTTGGCAAACAGTGTTTTAACTACTTCTGTCCTAGTAATTTTCTACCCTTCACTTTCCCAAAGAGCAACTATTTTACCACTTTGTATTGGTCAGCTAAAGGAAAGAGCTAGTACACTTCTCTAGTGTTTCTTAACATAGACTAAGGTATTAAGCACTATAGCAGATTAGAAATATTTGTGTAAATTTATTTGAAAAACTTACAAAATTGACATATTTTCTTCTCTCTTAGGGCTCAGCCGATCCTCTAAATAGTGCTTTCCATTTGACCTACAACATGGTTTTGAACTTACTGCGTGTAGAAGAAATTAATCCTGAGTACATGTTGGAAAAATCCTTTTACCAGTTTCAGCATTATAGAGCAATTCCAGGAGTAGTAGAGAGTAAGTATAAAATTACCATAATAGGGCCTAGTTTAGCTAAGAGACTAAATATCAAAATGACTGCATTATTGGCTGCTTTGGCCAATTTTTTTTTTTTTTTTTTTTTTTTCCCTCTATTAAGCTTGGTCCTTACATAAAGGACTGTAGAACTGCAGTCTGGTCATTGAAACCAACTAGAACATTTCAAAGTGAAGGTGAGAAACACTGGCAGGACACTTTTCTATAGTTAGGTCAAACTTAGTATAATTTATTGTCTTAGACATATATCACATGATAACTCATGTACCTGAATAATGATGTAACAAAAAGCCTGGTATATTAAAATTTGACCTGTAGGAAGCATGTCTATATTAGTCTTGTCATTTCACCGTTTCTCATTATTCAAAAAGAGTGCCATAGCTTATGCTTATGAATGATCAAGTAAATATAAGACTTGATTTCAGCTTTTTTTAGAATTTTAAGTTCCTAATATTAAGATAATGCTTTCTAAAGTCCAAAAACTAAGTGTTTTATGGTAACTATGTTCAAGTAGAATTGTGCATTGATCTTTATTTTAAAGGATAGTGTGGCTGATCATCAAATAGAGCTGATTAAAAGTTAAAATAGAAGCAAAGATTTAAACTACTTGTTTGGTCAAGATGGCAGAATAGATGGTTCCCAGCATCACTCTTTCCCACAAATCAACCAATTTACAACTATAAAAATGTAACATCAGGGGCCGGCCCGGTGGTGCACTGGATAGTGCGCCGCTTGGGAAGCGCGGCGGCGCTCCCGCCCGAGGGTTCGGATCCCACATACAGACCGGTTCCCGCTCACTTGCTGAGCGAGGCGCGGGAGCAACACCGAGGGTTGCGGTCCTGTTGCCGGTCCCCGGTCCGGTACAGGGGCAACACTGAGGGTTGCGATCCGTTGCGGGACACGGAAAAAGAAAAAAGAAAAAAAAAAAAAAAAAA